GACAGGTTCCACCGACGGGGAAGAAGTGTGGGAAGACCGTTGAACCACCAGTACCAAAGGTTAAAATTCCAGTACCAAAGCTTGAAGTACCACTGCCAAAGGTAGAAATACCAGTGCTAGAAGTGGTGGCGCCAGCACCAGAGATGGCGGATCCAGCAGGCGATGTGTTAAGTTTAACACCAGGGTCAGCTTTCAGTCCCGTTCAAGAGGAGATTCCAAGTAAGGAGATGTCTCCGGCTATTGTACCAAAGGGAAAACCTAGTAATCCTCTCCGACTGTTAGGTGCTAATATAAGCAGTGATTCGGAAACTGCCAGTAAGGGTGTGCCAGGGTCACCGCCCCGATTCCAGACTAAGAGGACCTTAGTGGATTTAGAGGCTTTGTTGCAGGAAGAGTGAAAACCGTGAAGGAGATTGTCTGCGAAACGGAATACCGTCACGGAAAGAAAGTTCGGGAAGTGGTGACAACAAGAGAATATACCGTGTTATAGTTCTAAACAGTGCCGGCGGAACGTTTTTTAAAGTGGGGGGCCACTTATAAGATGAATGGGAATATGAATCATGCAGATCGGGAATCAAACCTAGGTGGTGGGGTCAACATTCCTCCCAAGAGACAGATTTATTGGCTTTATTTGTAAAACGTTGGCAGTGCTGTCACCTGGCAGGCAGTACAGTTCCTACATAGAGAGAATTATTGCGACATGAGCCGCTTAGGGGACTCCATATTGGGGCCGATGCATGAATGAACACGAATGCCTATTCTATTGTGGCGATTGTATAAATGATACAGGCAATTGTAACAAATAATTTAAAAATATTAAAACAAATTTTATGTCATTTGATAGTACTTGAAATACCTGTTAATTAATGTATGTTTGAAATAACAAAATTCAAGAAGAAATTGATTCTAAAAAATGTTTTATTACATGTAGCTTTTGCTTTACTAGATTGGCATAGCACTTTAGGCGTACCCAGTGCATCATCGCATCTATTAAGATTAGCGACTGCTATGCCTCTGTCTCTTATACACATCTAGATGTGTATAAGAGACAGCTTTCTCGTTGGTGGCGCTGTCCAGAATGAG